GCTAATTTATTTGTAAGGAAAAAAGATGGAGAGCAAAATCAGGAGAGTGCAGGAAGAAAAATAAACCAAATAAATGAAGAAAAAAATAAGAAAGTAATATTTAATATGGAACTAGAGTGATCAAATGTCCAGGTTTGCCCTCCCACTAAATAATTTCCTAGAAGCCAAAATTTTCAGTGCTAAATCTAGTATAATGCCAGACAAATCAAGATGAGATTGTCATCATAATGTGAATTAATACTGGTGCTCCTCTTTCCATGACCTCAAGTGTCCCAGAGTCAAGTTATGCAGGATAGTCTCAGTTAATTCACTTCCATCATATTGCAACATAGTGAGATTTAAGGATAACATTAGTGTGGATAATCTTAGATACAACATCTCTAAATGGTATATTCTATAATAATGATACAAAACTCTTGTACCATGAAAAGAATCGTTAATAGTTAAAAGACTCAAAAAAACTGTCAAACTTAAACTATATATATTCTAACATATTTTTAAAGTTTAAATAAAAGCATATTAAATATTAAATGATCTTTTGGTTGACTGTTCAAAATATACTACCTATGGATATTTTTTAAAATAATAAATAATTTGCATCTAATCTGGACCATCAAGATAAAAGATGACAGTTTAATTATAATTTCAGAAATTCATGATGGAGAGAATATTTAGAAAGTAAAAGTTTAGGGGATATTCAGGAATGTTTCCATTATGTTATATCACTGCTAACAGTACAAGTAGGTGACACCTACAAGAACTCATATCTTCATAGTTTTTTTTTAAGTAGAAATAGAATTTTTTTGCTTATTTAAATTTTTTTTCAAATAGTTTTAATTCACTATTAGAAAAATTTTAAAGGCAACATCTTCAGGAAGTCTCCAAGACTAGTTGACACCAGCAAAGAAGAAAAAGTTTTAGTTAAATTTAAAGATAAAACCACATAACTGATGAAAGGGATTCTTAATGATTTGGGGTAATTTACTTAACACAGCTAATGATATACCGTTTTTACCTGGATCTAAATATCTTTATGTGATATCATTTTCATCTATGATATCCATTTAAACAAAGCACTGGATCAATTTAAATTAAACCCAAATCTTTAAATAGGTATACCACAATAATTTTCAAAAGTAATTAGATATATTCAATAACATTTTTCCTTTTGAATATTCTTTATAATTAATGAAATCAAATGGATTTTTGTACTATTAGGTAAATAAAATAATTAAATGCTTGTCATTAGCTCTACCTTAGCTCTTAAAATTCCTATTATCCTGAATGTTTTACATTGGGTATCATATTCATAGAATATTTCAAGGATATAATTTATAAATAACTAAATATATTATATAAGAATATGTAGATATTCATACTGAAAAGAGATCTCTGAGTTAGAAAAATACTTCAAGGCAGATGTCTTAGTTACTTTCTTGTTCCTGGGACAAAACACCTGACACCCACAAATTAAAGAAGGAAAGGTTTATTTGAGCCCACAGTTTGTAGAAGTTTTAGTCCATTGTCATCTGGCTCCCACACAGGACACTATGGCAGAGGGGAATGGCAAAGGAGAAATAGCCCATGGTAGGGCAGACAGGTGGCAGCATCAGCAAGCCTCTCTTTCCCTTTTTATTCCATCCAGGTTACAAACCTATTAGTTGTTCCACCCACATCCAGAGTGGGGCTTCTGTCTTCAGTAAATCCATTCAGCAAAAACAATGCTAAAACCAACCAGTGAACTATTCTAGTATCACACTTCTTTAATCCAGTATCACATACCCATAATCTAGCCATCTCCCAAAAGCCCCACCTATAAGGGTATGAGGCTTTAGGAAGATATCTAGATACAAGCCATAACAGCAGACTGTAGTATTACTTATGATGTAGCCTGCCCAAGAGTTGGCACTAAGTAAATATGTGTTAGTGATAGATATATGAAAAAATGCTCAATATCGTTAATTACTAGTAAAATACAAATTGAAGCCACAATGAGATATTATCTCACAATGAGAAGAGCTGCTGTCAAAAAGAAAAAAGTTAACAAGTGCTGGTAAGAAGGTGGAAAAAAGGGAATCCTTGTATAATACCGATGGGAAAGGATTATGGAAAATTATTTGGAGGTTCCTCAAAAAACTAAAAACTAGAATTACCATATGATCCAGCAATTCCACTTCTGGATGTTTATCCAAAAGATTTGAAATCAACACGCTGAAGAGATGTGTCCACACCTGTGCTCATTGTAGCACTAGGGGCCACGTTATGGAATGAACCTCAATTCTACAACAGACGAACAGATAAAGAAAATGTGGTATGTATGTACAATAGAATACTACTCATCCTTTAAAGAGAAAGAAATGTACGTCATTTTCCACAACAGGGATAGAATTAGAGATTATGCTAAGTGAGATAAGCCAGACATAGAGACAACTGCTATGCGGTCTCACTTAAAAATGGAATCTAAAAAAGTCAGACTCATTGAAGCAGAAGATAGAAAGAGTTACAGAGGATGGAGGATGGAAGTACAACAAAGACAGAAGTAACAGGAGTTTTTTAAGATTTCATGGTATGGTGAATATTATTAACAATGTATTATCTATTTCAAACTTGCTAAGAATAAATTTTAAATGTTCTCTCCACAAAAATTAAGTATTTGAAATTATATGCTAATTAACTTGATTTAATTATACCACATTGTACTTATAAATCATAACATCATTTTGCATCATATGTATATATATATGAAAATTTTTAAAGGTACTTGTTTCCATGGACAAATTAAACTCCTTCCATTGTAGCCATAGTTATAGAACTGAAGCTATTTAAAGAACACCAGCTTATGAAAGTTTCTACCTAAGTGTTCAGAGAAGACATTTGAGCAGTGTTCTGTATTTACAAGTTCAGTAAAGGAGACTCCACTATAATCAACTTAGTTATATTTAAGAGCAGCCAGTAGTCAGCTCCCACAGTAATTCAACAAGGAATCATTTAGTGTCTCACATTTGACTCGTAAGTGAAGTAAATTAGTACTAAATATGTTATGGTTTCTGATTTCACAAAACTCATGTTTAGCTGGAATATGTCTTCAAACTTCAATTACAAGTGGGTATAGCCTGATATTCAGAGAAGTTGAAACATCTACTTGTACAATTTTGCTACTTTTTACATGTCTGCCTTCTTCATCTTACCACATATTCATCTGCTCTGGGCTCCCCAAGTCCTTGCTGGAAGTATACAATTTGTCAATCAGAATCTCATAAAACACCAACCTACAATGACCCATAGCAGACTATGCTGTGCCTTTTTATTGGATTTTTTCTTTACCATTAAGCCTCACTAAAACTAGATGGGGAAATCCAAATTCTTTCATTCACATCTTATTTCTAGGATCTGATGTACATGAAAATGCAAAGGAAATAGTAGTGATGACCATCTCAAATGAACTAAATAACAGATGTGCTATTGACCCCCTAAATATGGAACTAAAGCATCCAACAGAATAATGTAGGTATAATAATGTGGACCCAATTCAAAAATGGGCATCTGAAATGAACAGACATTTCTCAGAAAAAGAAGGAACAGCAGCAAATAAACGTATGAAAAAAATGTTCAACATCACTGGATATTTGAAAGATGCAGATGAAAACAACACTGAGATTCCATCTTACCTCAGTAAGAATGGCTGCTATAAAGAAATCAATCAATAACAAATGCTGGCGGGATTGTGGGGAGATAGGAACCCTTCTCCATTGTTGGTGGGAGTACAGACTTGTGCAACCACTGTGGAAATCAATATGGAGATACCTCAAAGAACTAGGATTAGAAGTCCCATTTGACCCAGCTATTCCTCTGCTGGGAATCTTCCCAAAAGAATTAAAAGAATCATACCACAGTGATATATGCTCACCCATCTTAATAGCAGCAGTTTGTAATAGCTAAAACTTAGAAACAACCCAATTGCCCATCAACTGGAGACTAGATAAAGAAGATGAGTTTTTTAAATAAAACTGAATAGCCATAAAGAACAACAAACTAGGGATATTTATAGCTAAGTGGATGCATATTGAGGCCATACTCTTAAGTGAAATTAATAAGTTACACATGTTTAAATACTGAATAGCTTCTCTGGTGTGAAAAACTAAAAGTGTAAATAAGTATCAAAATGTATAACTGATATTGTGTAATAGGAAGAAAAGTCTAAAAGAGTAGAGGAAGTGGGAGGGATAGGAGAAAGGTAAAAAGTGAAAAGGAAAAACATGGAAACAATGTCTTTGTAAACAGGAAAGGGTGGAGAGGCTGAAGGAAGGGCTGGAGAATGGGGAAAAATGAGAACCAAGATAAGCCATGCACAAGGTCCCAATGATGAATGTAACTGCATTGTATACCTAAAATGTACCAATAAACTTAATAAAGATAAAAATTATTAACCCAAGAAAGATTAATAATGAAAGCAGTGAGTTCAAAGGCCCTTTAGTAACTCAGAAAATTACCAGGAAAAGGAGACTTCTCCAAAATTGTTACTTACTGGGTTGCAGGGAACTGGCTTCTTGAATATCAGTTTCATTATGATGTTTGGGCCTAAGAGATGCCTTCCTTGGGGCATGATGTCACATGCTCTTGAGTGTAGACTGTTGGCTTTCCAGACCCTGATATGGAAATGCCAATGGTAGAACTTCGTTCTGGACACCCAGCATCATGAAAAGTTACTTATGTCACATGAATAACAGGAAGAGCAATGGAGTTAAAAGATTTTTCTTCCAATTCTCAGACCCATGTTCTCCTGGAGACCAAACATACTGGTGATATACACATTCTTCTTGGGAGAATAGGACTAGATGCCAGGCATATTGTACCAGGTTTTATCTCCTCCTGCAACAGATCAATTTGCAAAATCAACAAGATGGTGCAAGGTCCTTCCTCTAATGATACTGACAGGGGACTGAAAACTAAGGGAGATTAATGTGATAAGAAATAAAACACTTTGGCACAGGAAAGTCTTTATAAGTCTTTATTGAAAATGTTTTCATCTTTGCAGAATAACCCAGGAAGAAACCTTTATTGATTACTACTCTTAAGACAGTGAGTTTTAAGAAGAAAAAAAAGATACTATTTCAACCCTAGCAAACACACAAAGTACTTTAATTCCTTGCTAGTTTTTACCAAGCCTAGCCCATTATGGAGGTTACTTCCGCATCTTCCCACATCAACAAGTAGGTGGAAAATCTTGCACAGTGTTTTTATGGAAACTAAGATTCTCCACAGACTGAGATCTCCTCTCTCTTTTGCTTGCTTACCATCACTACCAAGATGCATATTTATCATATAAAATGATGTCTTAAGCTTTTAAATCTAAATATTACATTTGAATAAAAATAATTCAAGATACTGGGATTTTAGGAAGATACCGAGAAATTTGGACCAAAATAAACCCAAAGCAGGAAAGAGTCTAAAAACGGCAACTTTCTCCAGAATTTTTATCTAAAATGGCAAAGAAAATAAATCAAATTATCATTTCCCAGGAAAGTCATTGCTTCTATATAGATTCCACTGACTAAAATGGCTGCCTAACAGTAACAGTGGTGTCATTAGCAGACAATGCACCAGCTCCCAAGGCACACATCCACTTTCAGAAGCTAAGCACCCCGGCGATAACCATGCCAGATCCCCTACAAATCTGATGTTTCCCCGGGGGTGGGGGGAGAGATAAAATGTCAAATTAAACCTAATGGTACTTCCAGCTGAGGCTCTATAAATCCCCAGGAAGGGTGCTGCTTGGATGGAAGATGTCTTGGCTCCGTGTAATTGTGGCTTTGGATAATTTAAGATTTAAAAAACGATAAAGCCACATAACAGCACTAAGCAAAGATCTCACCACTAGACTTCGGGGAGTCGTGGCAGAGGATCTGGAGAGGGACAGAAACAACCAAACACATCATTCATCCTGTTTATTACAGCTCAACTTTCTCTGCAAGTATCCTCAACAGCTTCAAACTCACCTTTTGAACCAATATTTCTCCTGAGTTTATTGTCCTCTTAGTCACCAACTAAGCTAGAAACAAATCATTCCTGTCTTTCTCCTCTTTCCATAAAACCCACACTCTCCTCTCTATTCCCCCCTCCCCAGCCACAGACACACACACAGACACACACACAGACACACACGCGCACGCACACACACACACACACACACGTGCTCCCACCCCTACTCTGTCCCTTTCTCTCTCTAACTCACCCCTACCCACCCAGGAGTTTCCTTCCCACCCCTCCCCATCACTACACTGAGCCCTAGGCCTTGAGCCTTTGCTGCCTAGATCGACCCTAAATCCGGCCAAGCGGAGAACAGCAAACAAAAGAGCAACTGTGGGAAATGACAGCTTGAGGACTCTGGCATCAGGTCTTCCCTTGGCTGCCTCACCTGGGAGGTGCTGGCAGGGATGGGCTGGCTCCCTGCAGGCACCTCATACACCTTAAAATGACAGAAGGTGTCAGTGGCCCTAGAACAGATACTCCATGCTGCTGCTACCTCAAAGCAGTGGGCATGGGATAGAGGGGGTCTTCTCTAAGGAATAACACTGGACAGAAATGGGACTGTCTGTGCCACGTATCGGGTGACGTGTGGCATAAAATATTATTCCAATATCCCAATGGGGGGAAAGGGATAGGAAGGCGGGGAGGGAAGGAGGGAGGGGAAAGAGGAAGAAAAGGAGGGGAAAACACAGGGAAGGCTACGATTCTAATTTTGAGTAAAAAGAAATGGCTACTCCAAACAGATATGAATCTGAGCTCAAATCCCAGGCTCATTTTAAAATCCCAGTTTCAGGGAACAGGACTCTCAGTGGGGAGCAAACCCTAGAAGCCTTCCACAGAGAGGGTATGGTTGAGCTCGTAGGTGTTGCTATCCTCTTCCTCCAAAAGCAGCTTGTCGATGGTCAAGGAACTGAGGGCCCTCCTGGGGTCATCCATGTCCTGAAGGACTGGCTCAGGGATAGAGATGGGGAGCTGGACAAACTGGGGTCCAGGCAGGGCTGGGGCTGGAGGCTGGTACTGCAAGGTAGAGGTAGGCAGCGTGGAAAGGGGCTGAGGCCATGGGAAATAAGTGAGGGGTGCCTGGTGCTCCGGACCCTCCAGCTGGGGCCCCATGGTGGGCGAGGCAGCGCTTCTTGTCTGTGATGGGAAACACAGGACCAAGTATTAGCAATCAGGTATGTCCATCCACCTGTCCTTGCCTCAAAGGAATCTAATTCCTCCTGCTCTGCCCTTACCTGGTTTCTCACTTGAAGAGGCTCTACCTCCTCCTGCTCAGTCTCCTTCTTGAGGGAGAGCCAAACAAACCTCAAATGTATCCTTCATGTGCATGTATCCATGTACAGCCTACTTTCTAATTCAGAAGCCTCATCTTTCTCCTCTGTGCACTGGGATACAAATAGTAATGAAGTCATGGGGCTGAGCATATTAGGATTTTCCAGGTTGCATTGATTTTGGAAATCTTAAAATGTGAAAGCTACATGAATCTTACTTTAAAAATATGTATGAAAACACATGTTAAACAATGAGCCTATCACATAGCGTCATTAGCTGTACCGGGAAGATGACTACTGTGCTGTCCAGACACAAAAGCAATCCTGCCTCCACACAGCAGCTCTGGTATCCTGAGGTCCCCAGTGGGCCAATGTAGCTCCATCGTCTCCTCCCCTTCTGCTGGCCACCAGCACAGAGAGGGCCAGGCCTCCTTACAGCCTGGGAAGCACTGCTCTGCCAGCAAACTTGGGCCTTTCTTCCTGCTGTTATGTGGTGCCTTCCATGCCCTTTACTCCTCTGACTCTGAGCTGGCCCCTATGGCCATCTCACCAGGGGCCCCCACGACTCTCCAAAGCTCAGAGCTGCTATCCCACATGCTTTAGAAACTACACATCCCACCTGTACAGAGATTGTCTTATGAACCTCAGATCCAGCTTGCTAGAGAGGCAGGGCCCTGATTCTCACTGTCCTTTCACAATTGAGAAAAGCAAGGAGAAGAGGAAATTCTCTTCATAGACTGAGGTTAGGACAAACTCTCCCCTTCCTACCTCTACCTCCCTGTCATTCTCTTATTGCCACCATGCCTTGAAAGTAAATTGCCAGAGTCAGCCACATAGGGCAGAGGTGTTTTTGTTTTTTTTGTTTTGTTTTGTTTTTGTTTGTTTTAGCTTGCTGGCAGTCTTGTTACAGCACCGACACTGGTCCAGGTCCAGGAGGTGGTCCTGGGATGGGGCCTGGGATTCTGCATAACCATTTATTCTTTGACATGTGGTCTGAAGGCTAGCCTCTTGAAACAAGACAGAATCTAGGAAAGCCTTATTATTTCCATATTTCAAAAATCCAAGTGGTGCTCCTAGATCATTGCAGGCTTCTTTGCTCAGAAATAAAATTACACCAACCTAGCACTCTGCTGATCATGAGGGCTGACTGGTAGCTCAAGCCACCTTCAATGAGTTAATTTACAAACTGTCAAAGCAAATAATTTATTTCTTAATAAATACAGTTTGTTTGATACACAGATCCTTCAAAGCAAAAGGTGGGGTTGATGAAAGAAGATAAATAATGAAAAGAATCCTCAGCAATGAAATGGCTGGGAACTACTTACATCCTCTACCACCACCTGAGGTTCAGTGATATAGAAATTAGTCACCTGGGGAACTACTGCATCAATTCCTTCTACCTGCTCTCATTAAGACCCCACAATTGATTTTCTAAATAGCCAGGTGGACATGTGTGTTACCCTCCCACAGGGGGTTGCCTGGAAGGTGCTAAGAGGCAGGGAATAGGTGCATTAGAACGACACTAGACCTTAGAGGAAAATGGAGGCAACATGGGGAACCAAAGCAATTTCCACCAACAAGGGTGCACTCTGTAACTACCCCTGAGGCCCCAGCTGTACTTTCCACAGGTGCCCTGCAATGACACTGATGCCACTGAAACCACAGCCTTTATTTCTTTGAACACCTGAAGGATCTCCATGCTTTTGGTCAGATAGACACCATTCACATAAAACTACATCTCTTTCTTCCTCCATTCCCGGAGGAGCAGACCATTCCTCTCCTATCTGGCACTTGAAGATGGTCCTTGGTTAATGTCACTCTGATTTGGGTGTGATGATAACCAACATTTACTGAGGACTTTCTGAGTGTCGGGAAATGTACTAAGCTATGCATTAGTTCATGTGATCTTGATAACAACCCTCTTGTTAATATTTTCATTTACACATGAGGACACTGAAACTAAGAGAGTCTAAATTACAAAGCCCAAGGTCACATAAGTAATAAATAAAGGGGGGAGGATTTCAACACAGCAAATCTAACACTACAGATGGAATCCCAAAATTACCTTTCAGATGGGTCTGAATCAAAAATGCAATTTTCTGGACAGTTGCATCACCTTTGCTCAGCCTAGAAATCTGGCAAATTCCTTTGTCAAATGAACAATTAAATCATCCTCTAAATTGTTCAAATTGAAAAAGAAAAAAAGGCTGGCCCTGGCAAAAGACCCCATGGAAATATTCACTAAGAACTTTGCCACATAGCCAAGACTCACTGAGGCAGCTGGGGAGATTCAGGACAGAGAAACAGGGGACCTTTGAGACCCTGAGGAGCAGAGGCATGACAAGACAGCCATAAGATGTCTGGAAAGTATGTGGCGTCTATGGGAATTGCAGCATATTTCCTAGACAACGCTGGACTTAGATGACCTGATAACCCGAGAAACCTGTAACAAGGAAGGTCAGGGGTCATAAAGCTAGCTCTGTTGCTAAAAGGATGCCCTCTGCTTTTGCATGACATACCGTGACATTAGTGATGAGTGGTGGGGAGGCATAGGTCAGCACTGATGAGGGCCCCACAACTGTGTAGCTGGGGCACACAGGCTGTACATACATGTCAGCTGAGTAGGGGCAGCTGACAGCTTCATGGGACACGTATTCTGTGTAAGGCGTCCATGGGGCCAGGGGTTGGAGGGTGGCCGGGCCAGGTTGGGAGAGCCAGCTGGCACACAGGGCCCCCTCCTCTGTCACTGTGGAAGCAGAGACCTCCATGTCAAGACAGGAAGGACCTGTGGGGGAAAAGAAAATTGCAGAACTGCAGGTGCCAACCAGAAGAGGGACGTGGAGAAGCCCAGGGCTGCAGGGAGATCTTACCCACTGTGGTATAGGTCGCCAGGGGCTGATGGGGCAACACCACCTAGAGGAGAGAAGAAAAGACAAAGACCAGTATTTAGCCATCTCCATCTAGCCCTGTGCAGCAACTCACCCAGGGGCTCCAGGGTAACACAGCACAGAGAAGAATCTCCCTTGTGAAAACAAAACACCCACTCTATAACCCAGTTACCACCTCCTACATTTGAGGGACTTGTGCTTCCATTTTCCAAGAAGCCTGTATACTTCAGGAACTGGCATCTTTCTCTTCCTTGAGGGAACCCCCAACTCACGCTGGGGTGTGTGTTTTTCACTCATTTGGGTCTTACCAATAACTGTTCCCAATGGGCCAAGTGAATCAGTCCCCCATTCCTCATCCCACTTCAAGGAACTACCAACTGTGCCCTAGGTCCATCGCCAGGTAACTTGATGTCTTTGTGCCCCCATGGACAAGGAAATGCATTTCTGCCTGAGCCTTTTGCCCCAACACACACACACACACACACACACACAACACACACTGGCCACAACTGTCCCCTCACCGCAGTTGGTGCAACAGCCGCCCCGGCGCTGGCATGGCCACGCTTCCTCCTCAGCAGCTCCTTCACCGGCTCCTTCACACGGACACCCTGATACGGCCGAGGCGGGGCCGGGGCTTGATCCGAAGCAGAGGCTGTGAAAAGCAAGGTCACTGGACCCCATAGCTCTTTTCAGACAAACCCCAACCCCAAGTGCCCATTTCCTCAAGGATCTGCCTGCTCGCAGGCTGTGTTGGTCACCGACGACTACGGGAGACTTAATGAAGTATTTCTCTGGATGACAAACCTCAAATTCTTCCCATCCCCAAACCTTCTGTGACACCCTCACACCACAATGAGGCCCAGCCCCTTGGCCTAGAATTAAAAGGCTTTCCCAATGGGACCTGACCCATTTTTCTAACCGCTTTGCATACTAACCACTACATAAACCAGCTCATACCAGAAAACCTGACCACACTTTTCCACATGGCCACACTGTCTCACCCTCCCATCTTCACTTGAGGTTTTCCATGGCCAAAATTCTTCTACTTCTTCTGACCTCTGCTGACCGTGGAATTCTGTATTTTTAATTCTCAAATACTTCCAGATCTGATTAGTAGTCATCATAGGTGGCAGTAGAGGACAGCAGAAAGAACAGGGCCTCTTGAGTCAAGTGGCACAAGCCTTAAGTCCTGCTCCTGCCACAATCTAGCTGGGCAAGTTACTAAACCTCTCTGAGCCTCTGAATTTGCAATTTCTTATCAAAAGAATGTTTTGAGGAGTCACTTGATATAGTAAATAAGAAATAAGCCATATGTTTCATATAAAGTCAAATACAGAGTAAGCACTCGATAAATTTTTATCCTGCTATATATTAGTCTGGTATACATTTCTCATGCTCCCAATCACATTATAGACTTATGGAGGTAAAATAATTCACCTTATTTCTCTGTATCTTCCCAGATGATGGGTCCATAGAGAACTCTGTGGTTATTTGTTAATTATTCAGTTGGGTGACTCTTTAACATGTGCTGCCATTTATATTCCCTTTACTTCTCCTGCACATTCAGAATGAAGAGACTGGAGCAGGTGGTTCCCAGGTTTTTCTGGACTTACGGGACCTGGGAAAAACACCCAGTGGTGATCTGTTTTCCCTGGGGCTAGAGAATATTCATTTTGCTGCTGAGAGCTTTCCTTTCTTTTTGTCATCAAAGGCAAGAAGCCAAGGTACCAACCCAAGTATAAACCAGAGCATAGGATCTTTGCTGGCCTGGGAGAGCAAGCCCAAAACAGCCACGGCTCTGCATGACAACCTGCCCAATCGACGGCCTGGGGCCTTAGAGACCAAGCCCAGACCTAGGTCAGACAAGACTGGAGGGAAGCATTAGCCCTCAGAACTCACATGGGAGCCCATTATCATTCCATGATAAGGGGCCCAGGGGCCCAGGCTCTAAATCAAAGGCCCGGAAGCCTGAGTATCTATCTGTTAAACCCGGATCCACAGTGCTGCTTTGGCTGAACTTTGCTCAGTAAATAGCCAGCTGATAAGGTCCCATGCCTCACTAGGCACCAGACCTCACTCCAAGTTCTAGAAAACAGCATGGCCTGGGCTCAAAAGCACAGTAAGCAGAGAAATGTGGGCACAGGAGGAAAGTTGAACCCCAGGAACAGATGATGTGAATCAGGACTGCAACATTTCAGACTAGGCTTCAGACCAATCTTCTGGGATCCCTAACGTGGCCATGTAGCACAATCAACCAGAGAGCAATGCAAAATTCAGATACCTATGTCTCTGCTCCTAAATTGTCTGCTTCTGGGGATCTGATTAGCCTTAAGAGGTCTATATGAATGTAAATCCGTCTGGTAATCCTGAAGATGTACTGAGATTAGAACCACTATTAATCCATCCCTAATTTAACAGAAGAATCTCCTAATCATCCTTTTTTAAACTTCCCTGTAATAAGAAATATGAATACTTGTATTTAATCATTTTTTCAATTGTTTTTGGATGCTGGGAGTACAGTAATGAATGAGATGGATGTGATCCTTGCCTATGTGGGCCTTGTAGTCTAGTGAGGAAGATAAGCAATAAAAGTTACCAGTAGGAGAGATGTCACTTATGAAATTCAGTACAATAGATGTCACAGCTTGTGATAAAAGAGTGCATAGCAGCAGGAGCCACACTAATAACTGTGTCCTTGGACCACCTTCAAAGCTTGAAACACCTGTATTCAAATCTGGGTTATCACTTATTGCTAGGAAATTCTCAGATTCATTTAATGACTCTGGGCCTCAATTTCCTCATCTATAAAACAGGAATAATAACTCCTCTCTCCCACAGTTGTAGTAAGAAGTAACTGAAATAATAATCGAGGAGCTCCCAAGGTCAGGTCCAGCATATGGTAGATACTCAGCACATGTTACTTTCCTTCCCTTCCTTCTACCAACATCTACCTTCTTTGGAAAACTGTATCAAAAGTTCTTCCTCCTACTGAACCTGCCTTATGGTAATAAGTACCACATTTCCTTGTGTTATCTTCCATTTACATTCTAATTCATCCATTTATAGCTTTCTCATCTATAAAATAATCAAAATGGTATGTACATGGTAGGTAATTACATGTCATTAGACTAGAGCTTGGCACAGAGGCCCTTTAATGCATGTGAGCTAATGTTATTAGTAGGGATAGCAATGTCTCTTGCCTGAATGAACTTCTCATCCTGTCATCCATTTCTCAATAACGTTTTAAGCTTCAGCCTGCCTTCTGGGTGCATCACTCCTCTACAAGTTCCACTTGCCACATCCCTGTCTGCTTGTGCCAGTACCATCCAGACTCCAGGTGTGGTCTGACATGGCAAAGATCAGAGCTACCTGCTCCTCCCACATTCTGCTCAAGGTCACCCACGGCCAGCTTTATTCACAGCCACATCATGCAATATATTCAAGTAGGTTTCCTGCTATTTCTTAGGCACAAAGTACAGCTTGAAATCCTGTGTACTGAGGAGAAATTTGGGGCATGGAGTTATTTGGAGGTCCAACCACTGTGGTCACCCTATCCCGATTCATCTTGGAAATAAGAAAAGCTTGATCCCATAAGCACACATCTCAGCCCAGATCAAAGGCAGGTACATGGCTCACCCATCTCCCTCTAATTTGCATATAAACCTCTGGGGAAGGCCCCAGAGGCCTCCTGATCACACTCCCTCCCAGGAAGGTGACACACCACACACTTGGCTGGAAAGGGACCAGCTGGACACTTCCAGGATCTTGTCAAGTAAGGGCTTCCTGCCTCCTGTTGTTCTTAAATCAATGAACAAAGAGGGCTCTGGGGAGCTGTCCTGAGCAGATGGTCTTACCCACTAATGTCTGCACTTCCTAGGAACCCACAGTGTCAACAGATGTGTCCTGGCACAACAGAGCATATGCAGAGCAATTCTACCCACCTTTTCCTATGGCAGCTGCAAAGCTTCTGTAGCTTCCCAGGTGCCCTGACTGTTCGTTCATGTGCCAAAGAATCCTGCAATTGATTCTGCCTGATCAGGCAAGCATGTGGCAACTTCCAATAGCATCTCTACAAAGTGCCTGTGAGGTATCAGAATCCAAAACCTCAGGACAATTCCCGAGGGACCCCAACAGCCATGTGTATTTGCAAAATACAAGTTAAAAATTTACGGTCCATGTCTTTCACGCCAATCTATAAGGAGCAACAGTTAACACTGTGCTTCCAACTGCCACTAGCATGAGAACTGAGGCTAGAGACACAAAACTGGAAGAGAAAAAGGAATTTGCCTAAAATCACATTCGTCTTACCTTGGGGCTGCTGGGCCTCTGAATCAAGCTAACTTTAAAAACAAATGAACTGGAATATTTAAAATAAATCTTTTAAAAGTATTGTTTTAAAATAATAATAAAAAGAGTATTCAAAGAAAATAAGGAGATTGAAATAATAATACACAGCAAAGAAGATAAAAGTGCAATTTCCTAAAGTAGAGTTAATCAGAAATTTTAATCACCTCCTGATGGAATTTCAGCTCCAGGCAGCACACCCTTAAAGTCTGATTTATTCTGGGCCCTCTAACGGGCATCCAGCTGTTCATCACTGAGAAAAATCTGCCCACCTATACATGAACCGCTCGGGTCTCATCAGATTATCTCCTTTTGGGAGGCTGAGCAGTTCACTATATTGCCTTTCCAAATCACTGTAAGTCTCTCACCAGTCGGGTTGGGATTAGGGGCTGATTTACAGCAAAACCCATAGATTTGTTCCCAGTGAGGGCTTCCATTTTCAAAAACGAGCAATGAAAAATCTGAAGACATAAAAAGTCAGCAGAGAATATTTCAGTTCCTCCTGTTACACACCCAGACATGCTCCACATCACAAAAATAAGAATCCTGCAGCTGCTGTGCCACTGAAGAGTCCACAGCATGACAAATTCAAGCCATCACCTCACAGAGCACCCTAGCTGTGTGTTGGCATTTGTGCCCACTGTACACCAAGCTAATGGAACATATGATTTTACTGATTTAAATAAGCATGATGCTCTAGTTCCTTGATAGAGGTACAATAAAATATCACTGAGGAAATATGCAAAATTATAGGCACTTGTTTATTTAATGACTCCCATATTGAATGCAAACCACATTCAAGCTACAGTAGAGGAATTACTCAGAAGCTAAGGAGATGGGTTACCAGGCAGTGGTCCCTTCCAGGGCAATTGTAGAGAACCCATGTCAGGCAGGTATTCGTTTCCAAGAAGAGTCTCCAAAGTACTCTAAGACACTTCATCCTTCACTCTCTTATTATTTCCAAAGAACCACCCAGCCAGGCAGCAGATTCAACAATAGTTAAGAGAGCTGTACTCAGGGTCACGTTGGATCCAGGATAAGCATGTGTTTCCATCATCTGGTAACCAGAGAACAGGAACACTTCCTAACCCAACTTGACAATCTTGCCAACTGGGAACTCTCTCCATTCATGCTTGCCTGAATCTCAAGGCTGCAACCACACAAGGCCATATTGAAAGATTAAAAACTTCTCAGGGCTAGAGATTTACCTTAGTGGCACCACACTGGCCTTGCAAGCACAGGGTCATGAGTTTGATCCCCAGTTGCAAAAGAAGATTAAAAACTTCCCAGTCCGGAAAGTCATAGGCC